GTTTGTCATGAAATGACAATTGGGGTCCATCTGTAGCTGGAAATGCAGAACCCCAGGAAGGTGCCAGCACAATCCTTGAACTGTGGAGCTTGTTGAGGCTAAGCTGGGATCCAGAGCTTTGCTCTGAGCCCTTGGCTTGCCATCCTGTGGCTGAACAGGAGTGGAGTTGGCCCCTGTCTAGTTGGAGCCTTTCTGTTCATACCATCTCCTATGGTCTGAACCTGGCTGTGCCCAGTTCAGCATGATCTTACTCAGCCTACAAGGGGGAAGTGGGTGAGCATACTGAGTCAGGGAGAGGTGTTTATTTGTTCCTTGTCATGCCTCTGGGGTGGTAGTCTTGATGCCAGCTTTCCTGCCTGGGTTGGCCTTTAAAGAAGTGGTAGCATTCACACTCTGATTCCCGTTGGCCATTGGTCTTTTGGTCAGTGTATCTTACTTCCCCATTGCAGTCTCCTTTGAACATGACACCCTTGTTTTATGTATGTTTTTAATTTTTAAAGTCTGTGGTGATTGACTCTAGGAATGTTCCTGTTGTGAAGAAAGCCTGATGCTTTCTTATAGTCTTTGTGTGGCCTCTCCCTTCTCTCCTGTGTCCCCATGACCTCTGAAAAGACTAGGTTTGTAGCCTCTTTGGTGACTGAGTGAATAGGGGTTGGGGACCTTGGCTTCTGAGGCTCAACCAGAGGCAAAGGAGGGACCAGACCAAAGTTGAACTGAAGCCTTGGGAAGCTTTCCCTGCTCCTGTCCTGAGGGGAATATCCTGGGTGTGGGTATATGTATGTGTATGTGATGTGGCATCCCCATTGTGGAAGTGGGTCCCCTGAGGGTAGAGAGGGCACCACAGCTCTTCAGAAGGAAGGTGGGTATCTCTGCCCTCCACAGCCTTCCTTTAATTGTGTGGAAACTTGGTGGTGAGGTGGGGGTGGGATAAATAGAAGCTGGGACGCTGGGCCATGTGGGCTAGTGAGGCTGAGAGGACAAGGGAGAAGTCTGGTGGAGTTGTGGGGCCCAGGCCAGAGGCATGCCCTCACCCCTGCCTACTGCCTACCCCTTCCTCCTTCCAGCTGCAGCTCAGGCCCCCCTAAGCTGGCTGCTCCAGCCCTGCAATTCTTCAGCACTTAAAGCAAAAATAAATCACTGCTAGCAGCTGGCGTTCTGGGTGGCAGCAGCCGCACCACCCCCTGCCCTGACCTCTGCCTCTGGGCTCCTGGTTCCAGGCCAAGGCTAGCCTTCCACACAGGCTTGTGGGAGTATATAGAAGGCTGTGGGGGCTTGGCATGGCCTGGTGAGGTCACAAGGAAGGCCGAGGCAGGGATGGTCCCTTGAGGCTCTAGGGTCTCCAAGGGGTGGTGGAAGTTTCACCCTAGCTTGGTGGAAATTTACCTGGGAGGGCTTGGGGCATTGTAAATTCAGGATGGCTTGGCCACCTACTAGTCATAGACACCCCCACTCCCATATTCACTACTTGGGCCCAGCTCTGGGCATCCCTTTTCTTTCTCTTCCCTTCTTTCCCTTTTCAAGAATCCTAGAGGTCTTGACTCAAGTGCTATGACGCAGGCTCCGAGGATGTCAAATTTTAGCATCATTTATGCTTTAGACAAATAGCTTTGGGCACATGCACGTGCTATGCCTTGTGCTGAGAGGCTGGGGCTGGGACCATGGGTGTGCACAAGCTCTCCCTTCCCCTGGCCCTTGTGGGGCTAATATCTCTGAGGGTTGGGGAGGATAAAACAAATAAGCCCAGGAAGAGCAATGACTTGGTCATACTTCTTTGTTAATTATTATACTCTTTAATTATGGCAATGTTGCACACTCATACAATTACAATAGTTAAGAGTAGAAAATGAATCCCTTCTCAAACATGCCTCTTCTCCCCCGCAAGTGTTCTGTGTTCTTAGGTGACTGGATTTTCTCAGTGCCTGTGTAAACGTAGTCATGTTTTCTCTTTTCCTCTTCCATCCCCCACCCAGGCCATGTACCCCCTGGTTCCCTACAACAAGAGCCTGGCCATGTGGTGCCCAGTGCCCACTGGGCCCAGGGCTCCATTCCTGTCTCCAAGTTGAGGGCTGAGTCACTGAGTCTGTGGATCCTGGTTGTGGAGCCTTTGAACTCACAGAGCCATTGAGTTCACACATCATGGGTTCTTTGTAAAGTTTTAGCAGTGCTAAGGCAGACAATCTGGAATTGCAGAATTGGAACAGCTTAACCCTAGGAGAGGCTCTAGGTCCTTGCCTAGGTACCTCCTTCCTTGGATCCCTCAGGGACTTTAGATCACCCAGATCCCCCAGAATTCTGGCTCAAAGAGGTTGAGAGAGCCTGGGAGGCTGTGATTTTTAATCTCTCCCAAATAGCTCAGTTCATGCACAGGAATTGCCTTGCTGCCCTCCAGCCCTCCAGAACCCCAGTCTCCCAGCCCTCCAGTTGTCCTCCCACAGCCCTTCAGCCTTCTAGCCATCTAGTCCTCTAGCCCTCTACCCTTCCAGTCCTCCAACTCTGCAGCCTTTCAGTCTTCCAGCCCTCCAACCCTCCAGACCCCACACAGTCTTATCTATCAGTGTTGTAGGACTTGGGGCTGGCCAGCTCTCTCAGGATAGAGCAGGCTCTGCCTGGACCTGAAGGGGGAGGTGCCCGCCACTTCTATGGTGGGGTGAGGAACCCCACTTCCTTGTTCACCTTTTCTTTAACCTTCCAGAGGCAGGATCACTGGGTCCTTTGTAGTCCTCAGACAGGTCAGCCCTCTTCCTTACTTGTGAGCTCTGCCTGTTGATGCCCACACTTGCTTGATCCCCTGACATTCTTGAATTCCGATTTGAGGTGAATCAAATCTCTGTTTAAAGAGATATAATACCCTGATTCTAGGAGAGGTTATAATGACCATAAATGCCCTTCTCCTAGCCTCAGTTTCCCTGTCTGTAAAATGGGCACTAGATCCACCCCCTCTCAAGGCATCACCCTCTCCTGCCCTTTGTGCTTGGCTCTGCAGTCAGGGCAGGGCAGGGTAGCTTCCTCCTTTCTCTGACCCCCTCCATTATGTAGCCGGAGGTTTGGCCATGCCAGCACCTCACCTGCTGGGCCTCAATCTGCCAGTAACACCTGCTTGGTCAAAGTAGCCAGGCCCCTCCCTGGGCCCTGGGAGACTTGAGGACCACTAAGAGTGTCCCCAGGAGCCCAATGTGGTAATCCTAGAGTGGCCCAGGCCCCCGGGCCTGTGTGACAAAGCACACCCACCATCCTCTTTTTTTCCTCTGCTGAATGTGAGTTGGCCTGGGTCTGACCAGCACATCCATAGCCACTTGGGGCTCTGGGCTTGATCCTGTGGCAAATACCCTGGCCCCACAGTACTAGGTTTTATCCTACCCTGACCTAGTTGCCTTCTGCTGGCCTTAGGTCCAGTTATAGCTGGACAAAGACACCCTAGATAAGTACAAGTTGATAAAAAAGATTGGGGGCCAGGGGATTTATGGGGAGCAGGAGTCTTCAGTCTGTCCCTGTAAAATGGGAACACTAGAGAAAAGAGGGCCATTAGATGTTCTACCCAGGACAGGAGCAAGGTCCAGGAGGAGGGCAGGGGTGGGGTCAAGAGGGAGCATAAGACACTGTGTCAGTTTGGGTGGCTGTTGTCATAGACAACCACAGAGTCGGGATAGAAGGAGATAGCCTGAGAGCCTCTCATCCCAAATGCTGGGGTCCAGAGTGCATTGAATTTCAGATGTTTTTCCAGGTTCAGAATATTTGCATATACATAACTAGCTATCTTGGGGAGGGAACTCAAGTCCACACATGAAATCTATTCGTGTTTTATCTATATATTATACAGAGTCAGAGTATGAATACATTATCTTTAATAATTTTGCATGAGCTAAGTTTTTGTGATAGAAATTTTTGTTTTTCTAATTTCCTTTCTTTTCCTTTTTTAAAAATAACACTTCCAGCCTTTTTTTCTATATAGCCCCCCCGCCCCCAAGACAGAGTTTCACTAAGTTGGCCTTGAAATTTTGATCTTCCTGCCTCAGCCTCCCCAGTGCTGGGATTATGGTGACAAGTCACTGCATCTGGTTTGACTTTCTCTTTAAGAAAAATGTAGGACTGGGAGTGCAGTTCAGAGGCTCAGCAGGTAAGGGCCAGAACCCATGTAAAGTAGAAAGAGAGAACTGATTCTTGAAAGTTGTCCTTTAACCTCCACGTGTAGGTCATAGTACGCATACACACACTAAAATATATAAAAAAGAAAGAAAAATGTACTTTTTGGTTAATGTCCTTTGGAAACACATAACATTAGGGTTCTGTTTTTAGTTTCTGCTGTTTTCCATGTGTGTGCCTTTGGCAGGTGGCCCTGTCACTCTGTCTGCTTCCTCTTCTCAGCTGTGGAGTCAGGAGTGGTCCTTTCCCTAAGGAACTCCTTTGAGTAATCTGAGTTTACATGTAGCCCTGGCACATGGGAGGGTGTGGGAGATGTCACTTTCTATGGCAAGATTGTTTTGAGCTCTGCCTGATATTTCAGGCAAGAGACTGCATTTCTGCTTAGTTAATCTAATCATTCTGATGCATTAACTCCTGGGTCTCTGTCCAGCCCTGGCTGTCACAGAGCCTGGCCTTCTAAATAGAAGGTTCTGGAAATGGCTCTGCCAGGTTGAAGAAGAGCCTTTGTGATTTTGAGAGCCCTCCATGGGGTTGTACTGTTTTAGAGCCATCTCAGCAGAGCATGCATGTGGCATAGCCACCGGAGGCCCCCACCCTGTTTGACGATACCACTTCTAGCAGCAAGGGCCTTCACTGCCCTTGATTTACATGTGAGACATCTTCCAGGTTGATACCTTCTCATAGCTCTGTCCTAGAGCTGTGTTCCTTTGTTCTCAGCTCTTTATCCTCCCCCATAGGTTGAGCTCTCAATGAATTGGGTGGTCAGCTTCTGTCACATGTCTGTTTTTTCTCATCTTCCCAGTCTTCGCAGTTGACCCCAGGCACAGGGAGCTGCTGTTCTTCATAGATTTCCAAAACCAAGATGTAGTGAGGTTGTGCCATGATTAGCCTGTGTCTGCATTCTGTGTACCTAGAGCCCAAGGAGGATGTCCATGGTACCTGGGTCTCTCCCAAAGCTCATTGTTGTTGGAGGGGGATGTTGGGACCCCTGTCCCCAAACTCTTTCCTGGACTGCCACTAGGCATGTTAATGTGGCAATGTGGTGAATTGATGCCAGTGTTCTCGATTCTTTTCTATGCTCCAGGCCACTATCAGGATATTTAGGGGGCTCTAGCTTGGTGGTATCACCTGGTGCCCGTGTTTCTCAAGAATTGACATCTTTCTCAGATTTGGCATCCAAAGACAGGAATGAAACAACTCATCACCACATCTGCTGGTGCCAGACACTGTGCTCCGTACCTTCCGGACAGTAAGTCATTTAATTCTCAAAGTGTCCTGGCCAGATGAGGGGCGAGGCTGGGGAGGAGGATGGCCAATCCAGATGTTAGCCCACACCCAAAAGCTGTAAAGAGAAGCCTCAGTGTCCTATGGAATTCTGTGGGCTGGTGGGAGGTGCCTGGGCCTGGGATCTCCAGGAGATGACTGAGAATGGTGTCTGGCTGGGAGCAGTAGTGCTGACCATAAGCTGTGTTGACCCAGATTTAATGGGGCTGTCCCTTGCTGTGTGATTTGGGACTACCAGTGTCATCTCTCTAAGCCTCACTTCTCCACTCTGAACAATGTGGCTAAATCTCCATTTTACACTCTGACTGTTTCAGATGAGTGTTTGGTCACACCATAGAACTGTTCAAAATTCTAGGTGGCAGAGGATCATTTTACAAGTAGAGAAACTGAGGTTCCAAGAAGAGAAGACAGTGCAGAGCTCATACCCAGCCTAAGTGAGTCATCCATCTGTGACCGTAACTTCTGAATGTGGCCTGGTCTAGTCAGCCTCATCCTTGTGTGGTCCAGGCTAGAAGACAGACAGACAACTGCTCAAGAAAAGATAGACTCTGGGCTGGGATCCTGGTGCAGGGTGATGGTTGAGGTCAAACCTGTATGCAAGTTTTCAGGGCACCTCGTAAACCCACTTTTGCAGGGATGACACTGGCTTTAAGCTCCTGGGCTATGTAGATGTGGAGGATGGGCGTGGCTGACTTTCCAATAATCTGTCCATAATATGAGGTGACACTCTAGAATGTGATGAGGTATGGGCTTAACTGCTCAATGACAGGGCTTCAACCTTTTTCCATTTGTGACCACTTTTCCCTAAGAAATTTTTTATGTGACCCTAGGTATATAGGCATATAAGATAGGTATACAAATTAAACATATACTGGTAATAAATCATAAAAATATTTATTTTAAAGAAATTGTTTGGTATACATGTCATTTTATTATTTATTAAACCTGAAAGCAATTTGTATATTAATGAGATGGATGTGTTTATTTTTATATAGGGAACTAAATCTTGCTAATATTTGATACTCAAGGATATAGAGAATCTTCAACAGTTTTCCGAGTTGATAGGTATTTTTGTTTCATGATTGTCAATGCTGAAAATATTCCTTTCATAAGTACATAGTACAAAATGACACAAATATGTTTAGGATCATTTCAGAAATTGCTGAAAATTTTGTCCTAATCTGAGCCAAAGTACATTTAACAATTTTTTAAAAATTAGAGGAAAAACTTATTTATTTATTTTATTTTGGGTGTGTGGGTGTTTTGCCTGGATGTATGTATATGCACAATGCATGTACAATGCCTACAGAGGCCAGAAGAGGGTGTCAGACTCCCTGGAACTTGAGTTATGGACTGTTGTTAGCTGCCATGTGGGTGTTGGGAACTGAACCTGGGTCCTTTGCAAGAGCAGCAACTGCTCTTAGCCTCTGGGCCATCTCTCTAACCTCTTAACAATTTTTAAAAAAATGAAACTCAAAGCTGGGCATGGTGGTGCATGCCTGTAGTCCCAGCACTTGGGAGGCGGAGGCAGGAGGATTTCTGTGAGTTCAAGGCCAGCCTGGTCGACATAGTGAGTTCCAGGACAGCTCGGGCTACAGGGACAGGGAGACCCTGTCTCAAAAAGACAAAAAAAAAAAACAAAAAACAAAACAAAAAACCTCAAACAGCATTAATATTATTATTATTGTTTTGAGACAGGGTTTCACAATGTAGCCCTGGCTGTCCTAAAACTCACAATGTAGATCAGGCTGGCCTTGGACTCACAGAGATCCACTTGCCATGGCCTCCCAAATGCTGGGATTACAGGTCTGAGCCACCACACCCCATAACAATTTTAAACTCAAACATTCTAGCATAATGCAATGTATTAGTACTTTTCTGTTGCTGTGATAAAAATGCCATAACCAGAAACACCCTAAAAAAGAAAGCGTTTATTTTGGCAGGAGTAGGAAGCTGGCTGATCACATTTCCATCCACAGGCAGGAAGCACAGAGAAAGAGTAGGAAGCCAGGCAAGGCTATGAACTCTTAAAGCCCACTGCCAATGATGTGTGTCCTCTAGCAAGGCTCCACTTCCTAAAGATTCCATAACCTTCCTAAACAGCGCCACCTACTGGGGACCAGGTATTCAAACACATGAGCCTGTGGGGACGTTTCTCAGTTTTAAACCATCACACAACCCGAAGATATTATACGTGCTGGGAAATATGGTAAGAAAATATTAAAATTCTTTGTTTTTCCCTAATTAAACTAATGTGTTTCTGTAAGAGCAGAATACTGTATACGCAATGAGAACAATGCAATTCATCCAATCTGAGTCAAGGTGTTTCAGGCAGCGATTGCTGGTGCTGTGTGGTATACAGTATGTGCAGGGCAAAAGTACAAATGTTTGCTCAGAAGCAAGGCTGCGTTGAAGCTGTGAAATGCAATATGGAAAATGATGCCAGAAATATCTGGGATTCATTTGTTTTATTTTTAATTGATTTTTTGTCATTGCATGTTCAGAAACCTTTTACTGTTGTCAAATTTTTCATGACCCCACGTTGAGTTACATTATAGAGTCACAAGGCAGTTTAAGAAATTGGTGCAGGCTGGAGAACTGGCTCAGTGGTTAAGAGCACTGGGTGCTCTTACAGAGGACCCAGGTTTGAGTCCCACCACCCACCTAGCAACTGGCCGCAACGACTCATAACTCTAGGGGAATCCGACGCCCTCGTGTGATCTCTGTGCGCATTGCACTTTACAGGTGCATGTACATACATGCAGGCAATACACTCATACACAAAAATAAAAATAATAAATAAAATATTAAAAAAAGAAACTGGTGCTTAGGGGACAACTGAGTTGTTGGCCATCCATCCATCCATCCATCCAGCTTTGGGGATCCCTAGTCCTGTGGATAAATGCTGTACCCACAGACTCCTGTGACATAGTATGCACCTGAGAGCATGGTGCTAAACACAGAAGACTCCCATGTGAGTGGCTGTGGGTCCTGGCACAAGGACTTCTGTAACACCTGTGATCTCAGTGGAGAGTCTAGCCCAGGAACACCTCTAGAGTGCTCTTGAAAGCTATCCTGGGGCTCAGAGAAAAGGAATTCTTAGTTGACTGCCACTTAAGTCTCTTGGGGCTTGTGGGGAGCAAGATTCAAAGTACATAGAGCCCCTAAGCACAGTTTTTGTCTGTTGTGGGGCAGCCAGCCAGCCACACAAACATTGTTGAACCTGCCATCCTGGCCCTGCATCTCCCTGCCCACTCCTGAACCTGTCTCTTTTCTGATCTAGCCCTTGGTTCCTGCTCCCACCCTCTAGGTCCTGGGCCCCTTCCTCTGAAGGCCTTAAATAACTCTGTGAACCATGTGGCCACTTTTAGAGAAAAACAAAGAAGATGCCACTGGCCTGCAGCTACAGGTGACCACTTTCTGGTCTCAGCCCTTTCTTGCAGATGGATTGTCACCCTCTTTTCCATAGGGCCTTGTCCTCTCTGCCCTACCTAAGTCCATTACTGTATCTAGGGTTCCCTTTCTCTAGTGGACTCTCTCTAGACTGGTCAGGAAGGAATCTTCCCAGAAGTGACCACTGACAGCCTTCGTTCACAGGAAAGTCTGGGGGACAAAACAGTTCTGCTCCATGGAGCTTGTATGTCAAGGGGGCACTGACCTTGAACTCCATATGAGCATAGGCCCTGTGGAATCAGGGAGTGAGCTGAAGGTGCTAAAGGAAGATGAGCAGGGGATGGCCAGAAGTGGTTGCTGGGCCAGTGAGAGCAGGGCAGGGGCAGGGCCAGTGCAGAGTGGGGGACTGGATGAGAGACCTGAACCCTAAGGAGAGTGGAAGAGGTGGAAGGGTAGGGAGCTGGGGGGTAGGCAGAGAGGTGTCCCTCCCTTCCTCCCTCCCTCCCTCCCTCCTCCTCTCCCTGCCTCCTTGCCTCCCTGCCTCCCTCCCTCCCTCCCTCCCTGCCTACTTCCCTTCCTCTAGCCTTTGTCTCCTGTGTCCTGACCCATGGTGGGCTGTGGCTTTGCTGAGTGCTTGGAGCCATGGGGCTTTCTGAGGTTGGGTTCAAGTCTCCTCACTTTCCCAACTTTGTTTTTGGTGAATTTCACATCGTATAAAATGAACCATTTCGAAGGGATCAAGACAAGGTATTCTCTAGACTGTGCACTTACCAGCTCTGTTGTTGCCCCAAAGGAATCCTGTCCCCTCAGCAGCCACTCCCTGTTCCGTGCCCCTACCCCTGCTACCTCCAAGCTCTGTGGACCTGGTTCTTTTGGACATCTCATCTCCTAGGCCTTTTGTGCTGCATCCTGGTTCAGGGACTGCCACAATGTAGCTTGCACTGGAGAAAGGTGGTGTGGTTAGATCACATAGATTTGTCCACTCAGTTTTTGAATACTAGGTTTTTTTTTTTTCCCACCTTTTGTTGTGAGAACAGTGCTGCTGTTTCTGGCTTACCTGCAGTACCTGGGAAGTAATTGGGCTTTGCTTCTGAAGTTTTGTCATCTTAGATGCCACCTTCCAGCTCTAGTCTCTTCACCCATCCAAACTACATCTTATCTATATGCTCCCAGTGTCTACAGACCTTCTATGGAGGTTCCTTTAGCTCTTTCAACTTTTATTTGGCCTTTATCTCTGTGATATCCCAGAACGTGTTCAGGACAGGGTCCTGCTACTCTCAATTGTTACTGCTGTCTTTGCCCGATCTCCTGGCCCTGGGAACACCTTTCTGCCTACCCCCCAGCTCCCTCCCCTTCCACCTCTTCCACTCTCCTTAGGGTTCAGGTCTCTCATCCAGTCCCCCACTCTGCACATCTTGGCAGTCCAGACCTGTACTATCTCTGGCCCAGATCCAGATCCCAGAAGTCCAGGACTCACTTGCCCACTGAATCACTCTCCTGGGGCAGAACTGGGCTTTGATCTGCCTTGAGCCTGTTCCTTCCCTGGACACCTGGGCTGCTGTGGGTAAGGAA